GGGTGATTGAGTTGTTACAGGCAGTGGGGTTGGAGAGGCTACCCTTTCCCCTACCAAATTCGGCAGGCAATTTTATTGACATTTTACTAAATTTTATTAAATTTTTTAGCACTCCCTGGTGCTCACATTTATTTGTTTGGTTTTAAATATATATATATAAGACTTCGTCAAAACGTCACCAAGGCAATTTGATGCGGGAGAAAACCCAAATAACCAAAGACCATATATGTATATGTATATGTATATGTATATGTATATGTATATGTATATGTATATATAACAGCCGAGGTGGCGCAGCAGTTAGAGTGCAGTACTGCAGGCCACTTTAGCTGACTGTGTTCAGCAGGTCAGCGGTTCAAATCTCACTGGCTCAAGGTTGACTCAGCCTTCCATACTTCCAGGGGTAGGTAAAATGAGGACCCAGATTGTTGGGGGCAATGTAAATATATATATACATTGCTTACTGGTGTACACCGCTTAGAGAGTGCTTGCACTTAAAGCGGTATATAAGTCTCATGAATAAATAAATAAATAAATAAATAAGTATGTCAATTACCAATAAAACGTGAACACCAGGAATATAATAAACTATAAAAGTTTAATACCATCACCGATCACCAAGCTTTCGTCAGATACTTCTGACATCGTCAGGGTTAATGCTGGTCTATGGGAGAGTGCCTTTATAGGTGAGCCGTCATTTGCACACGGCTCCTAGATCTTGTCATAGGTCCTAATTGATTTAACTGCTTTTTAATTATGGCTTCCATGCTGATGACTCCTCTTTTCTTGCTTTTACTGCTTGTGGGTGTGTCATTGTTCCCCTCTACCTCCCACTGTCTTAGATTAGGGAGGTTCTCTCCTCCCCTTTTTTGGTCGTTCGTATCTCTAAGTTGTTCCCTCTTCACACCTCTGCATCTCCTACCTTCCTCCTTCTTCTGATCTTTACTTGCTCCCCAATTGTCATCCCTCATTCTATGGGGACGCACTCTCAGCCTTTCTCCCCATCCCTTGCTTTCCATTTCCCTCCCTTTGGCTGCATAATCTCCGTTTCTATCGTTGCCATTCCGTCTGACATCTACTTGCTCTTTCACCCCATTATCAATGTTCTCGGACTCCGCGTCAGATTGAATCCCTCGAATATCTCCTTCCTCCTCATACAAGTCCTTGTGTGCCCTCCTTTTTTGAATACGTATGCCTGGTTCCTTTATGTCCCTCCCTCCATCAACACAATGATCTTTTTTACAGTTTCTATCACGTTCTACCCTTATTTGCATTTCCCCCCCCCCATTCACACTGCTCTCGATCTCTATATCCTCTTGGGCGTTCCGATTGGTGCTCTGTTGTTTCCGTTGATGGACTGTCATCACAGGGCAAGCAAGAAAAGAGGAGTCATCAGCATGGAAGCCATAATTAAAAAGCAGTTAAATCAATTAGGACCTATGACAAGATCTAGGAGCCGTGTGCAAATGACGGCTCACCTATAAAGGCACTCTCCCATAGACCAGCATTGACCCTGACGATGTCAGAAGTATCTGATGAAAGCTTGGTGATCGGTGATGGTATTAAACTTTTATAGTTTATTATATTCCTGGTGTTCACGTTTTATTGGTAATTGACTATGGATTCACCCAGGAATCACGTTTTTATTTTCACTATTCTTATCAATATATATGTATATTGATAGGTTTTATATATACATATAGGTCTTTGGTTATTCGGGCTTTCTCCCGCGTAAAATTGAAAGTGTCTTGCCGACGTTTCGATGAAGTCCCATTCGTCATCTTCAGGCTGGTGTTTTCAGCTTCCTGCTTCGAGGAGCAATGTGTGGTCTTAGCTGTTTCTTCCTTTTAACTGCCAGTGGAGGTATGAACTGATTGGGTGGGAGGTGTGTTCTGACTGGTTAGGGGTTTGGCTGTGTTCTGATTGGATGGGGGGTTGGCTGTGCTCTGATTGGATTCTTAGTCTATTCTGATTCTTAGTCTACAATAAATCCAATGGCTCCCTAGGACACACCATCTACCAGAAGAAAACACACACAAACCGCTATCTGCACGCTCTCTCACACCACCACCCAGCATAGATGAACTCCGTAGCCAAGACACTCATCTCCAGAACAAAACGCTTAGCTGACGAACAACACCTAAAAACCAAATTACACACTCTCACCAATGTACTAACATCCAATGGATTCCAAAGAAATAAGATTACAAACCTAATCCAAAAAGAAACCCCCACTAAAATCCAAGACAGAGAACAAGAAAACGTCAAAGCCCTCCTCCCATACATAAAAGGCACCACAGACAGAATCAGCAAGATCCTCCATAAACACAACATCAAAACAGCATTCTGCACAAACAGAAAAATATCCACCATCCTAAGAAACCCCAAAGATAAAATTGAGTTAGAAAATCAAGGAGTATATGAAATCCCATGCACCGCTTTATTTATTTATTTATTTATGAGATTTATATACCGCTTTAAATGCAAGCACTCTCTAAGCGGTGTACACCAGTAAGCAATGTATACATATATTTACATTGCCCCCAACAATCTGGGTCCTCATTTTACCTACCCCGGAAGGATGGAAGGCTGAGTCAACCTTGAGCCGGTGAGATTTGAACCGCTGACCTGCTTGTCCCAACACATACATTGGACAAACCAACAGAAGAGTAAGTGCACGCATTGAAGAACATAAGAACTCAGTCAAAAAAGAGGAACCAACATCTTCTCTGGTCCAACACCTTAAAGCCACAGGACATGCAATTGACTTTAAAAATACCAGAACTATCGCCAAAACTGAATATTTTAATAACAGAATAATCAGAGAAGCCATTGAGATAGAAAAACGGCCACAGAGCATGAACAAACGAGATGATACCTCCTACCTACCAGCCATTTGGAAACCTGCCCTTATTGACAAATGACTCCCTAACACAAAGAATGACACCAGACCCACACTCACTAAAACCACACAGGATGTCACCACCACACATCCACGCAAAAAGCAAACCCAAAGCCACACCGATGATGAGGCACGACTACAAACCAGAAGCCAGACCATAGTTGCATCATTAGCCACTTTAAATCCCTCCAATCCATACATGAAGCAAACTGACACCCACCATGAAGATGAGGCATGACCACGAACGTGAAGCCAAAAAATAGCAAGGCAGCCCACCATCTTAACCCCCCCTGCAACTCAGACTAACCTGAGCACAACAAAGCCCTCACCCAAACAGAACACTCCCCCATCCAATCAGAGCACAGCCAACCCCCCATCCAATCAGAGCACAGCCAACCCCCCATCCAATCAGAGCACAGCCAAACCCCTAACCAATCAGAACACACCTCCACCCAATCAGAACACAGCCAAGCTCCCACCCAATCAGTTCATACCTCCACTGGCAGTTAAAAGGAAGAAACAGCTAAGACCACACATTGCTCCTTGAAGCACAAAGCTGAAAACACCAGCCTGAAGATGACGAATGGGACTTCGTCAAAACGTCGCCAAGACACTTCCAATTTTTCGCGGGAGAAAGCCCGAATAACCAAAGACCTACATACAAACACCTGCGAAAACCTCAGAAAACAAATATATATGGTCTTTGGTTATTCGGGTTTTCTCCCGCGTCAAATTGGAAGTGTCTTGGTGACGTAATAATCTTTAGTGGATAAATAACTGGCTGAGGTTAATAACCATAGCTGTTCTCAGCTACTTATTGCTCCCTTAGGAAATATCTCTCACTAGTTCAACTGGCTTTTGCTTATTGCAATAAATATATAGCACAGCATGTGGCAGAGGTGGAAGAAAGGAACATTAACTGTATAAATATAATGGTAAGGGCAGGCCAAGCTGGAAATCACAATTAAGTTCACACCTAAAAGCTATTCTTGCAGTTCTAGTAAGAGTGAGCATTGGTAGTTCAGCACCGTTTCCCAAATTCAGCTTCTCAGATACTGTCCCCCAGATTGTATTGATTTTGCTGTCCCCCAGATGTATTGATTTTGAGTTCTGATAGTCCGTGGTTATGCTTTGGGAGATTATAGAAATTGAAATTCAACACATTTGGAGAACAGCAGATTAGAAAATGCTGTATTATATAGGGTGGCTTGTTGTATTTTATTGTCTGGCTACTTGTGATAAAGACAATACTGCTATCTTTCAACTGATCATTTTTATGTCTTTTAGGTGCCCAAAGAGGTAACACTATTTTGGAAATTTGAATCATGAAAAATGGCTACATCTTGCCAGGTCTATTTTAATCATCTTCTTAAATGTTGATGCTTCTAGACCAGACATGTCAAACTTGTGACATCATGTGACATAGTGCAACATATTGGGACGGTTTTGCCATTGCCGGCAATGGGGTGGCCGTGGCTTCTGCGTGATGTGTCCGGCCTGCAAGCTGGCAGTTTTACACTCCTGTTCTAGACTGACAATTGACTGGGTGATATATGAAGACCATTCATATTTCTTGGGAAAATATGAAATATGGTTTGTAAGGTTGTTCAGATGCATATCCAACAGTGCAGAAAGTACAACATAAAGTTATGCAGGAAACCATTTCCCTAACCTTTCTCTCTTAAGCATATTTATTTTTGACTAAGCAGAGGAGAAGGGAAAAGGTCCGATATGCTCTAGAAGCAAAAGTCAAAACTTTTGATTATGTACTAGCTCTGTATACTGAAGCATGCCACGAGATCATAGTAGCTATATTCTGTATTATGATTATGGCAAAAAAGTGTAATGCATGAACTAGTATTGAATGTTATGTCTAATTTAAATGCCTAATGCAGTACTATCTGCAGGGATGGGAGAAGGGGTACCATAATCACATAAGTACCATAATCACATAAGTACCTCATGTAATTGACCTTCCTGATCTAATTTATCAAATGGGGTAATTATGTGGCCCCGGTTAGTAGATAATAGAAAATACTTTGTTGATTGGATGAGATTTAAGTCAAGGGAAAATGTGTCAAAAAAATCAGCCTTGAAAATGGCTGTTTTGACATTTTCACAAGAGAAAGTATTTCTGCAGTCTGTAAAAATCATCTCACATTTTCTATAAACTTGCAATTTGTTCCGATTCATCATTCTGTAAGAAGAAAATGATTGGATGATGGTAAAGAAAAATGATGTAGAAACAAACATTGCAGAATATTATGAGACAAACTATATGCTATTACAGCTGGCCAAAACAACACAGCCAAATACCAAAATATTTTATTTCAGTATTGTTATTACCAATAATGATAATAAACAATCACTTTGTTTTCTAAAATGAGCCCAGAATGGTATGCAAGACAATAGATGTACAGAACTAGGATGTAACTATTAAAGCCTGAGAGAAAAACACATTTACCAACCAATAGCACTGTCAACTGAAAGAACAATAGCACTCAAAATCCCAAGTAGACAGATATGTAGATAAGTTTTTATTTGTAGCCTAAATCTTGAAAATATGGAAGTCATCTTAGAGCTACCAGAACCAGGATATAAAAATCTAGGTAACTTCTAGATGACTGCAAACAGACACAAAAAAAGCATATCAATATTCCAGTGTTCATATAGATTACAATAGCCCGGGTTTAGTACTCCTACCACCCAGACTTTCTCTAGGGAGATTTCTATAATATGATGTTGGCTATATTTGATTAAAATAAGACTTAAGTTACATATTGAATTCAGTTTTCCAACCAAGAAAAAAAGGCAACATCAACCTGCAGTCATATTCATCTTTAGTCAATCATGCTTGAATTCCAGTAAGATAAAATATGTAAGATGAAACAAAGGTCTGTCCAGTGTGCCAGTATATGTAAGTAGGACAAGTTATATAAGGAAGTTCCAGCATGACCATTTATCTACCTGCTTGAAAGGAATATTTGTCATGCTCTCTATTTTGATTCTTGTGATTCTTATTGTTCTCTTTAGTTAGAAAATCAAGCCGATGCTCATCTAAGCAGAGAGTTCTTCTCAACAAATAAACCTGTAGCTCATTTAGCCGTCAAATTGCGTGAAGCATCAAGTCGCTTCCACCTACCACAGGGTGAATATCTTATTGTGCTCTACACTTATGATCCTTTCAAAGATGGACAGTTCTGCCTTAGGATCTTCTCTGTGAAACAGTTTAAAGCTCTGTATGTATCTTCTACCACCACGCGCCAAAAAATGTCATGCCATTTTGCATGGAAATTGTTTAATATATGTGCATTTGGAAGGCAGTGCTTCATCTGTGGTCTCCAGATATAACTGAATTCTAATTCCTATAAAGTCCAGCCAGTATGGCCATCAGTCTGAATAGCGGGATTTGTCGTGTGAGTTATCTAGAAGACCATGGGGTTCCAATTCTTTCACTTGAGAGTGAAGGCTATTTAATCAAGTTCTTCCATCACAGAGATTACAGTTATAAATAAAAAGTTAGTGGGGTGAACCTGAGAGCTGGGCAATGATCATTCTCAATCTATTAATACATACAAATCTAAAAGAAATTTACCATACAAGGAATTTTATGTTGCTAAAGCATCCCTTTCTATCAGTCTTCATTACTTTTTTCCCATCTCTTCTACAAAGAACTGAGAGATGCATCCTCACAGCTAGAACAGTTTGGGGTAGAAAGATGATAAAAGAAGCACACTGAACTAGGTAACGGGAGTGAGCACAAAAATGCTGAGAACCAGAAGAGGAGAGAGCAAAGTCACTCTGATCCGTAGGAAAGGAGATGTAAAATAAATTGGAAAGGAAAAGTGAGAGTGGAAAGCTCGAAAGAGCACCCTGCCCCCTCTTGAATTAAGATAACAGTTTTAGTTTCCAACTTATTTAAAAATTAAGAAAAATATTACAATTTCCTTGAACTGAACCTGTTCAGACTCTTCCTTCTGACTATAGTCAAAGACACAATTACTTGAGAAAAGTTATTTTTTTGGACTAGAGTGAAAAGTTAAGTCTATATTTAGATGGAAATTATAGGTAGCAAGAAAGGCAAACTGGCAGTTGAGCACACTAGTATTAAGTAGGAATGATAAAATTTGACAATGGCTATTTTATTTTTTTCAAGGTATTTATATCCATAGTTTTCAGGATGACTCAAAAATAAAATGAACAAAATACAACAGCAAAAATATAATTAAAACAATTATAGCTTTGAAGAAAAATCTAATGGAGGCAGTAAACCAAATACACTGTACTAAACATACACATTGCTAACAATTCACTTTTCAAGATTGCAAACAAAATTAGAGTTATTTTACTAAAACAACCCTGTAGGAAATGCCAGGTAATTCTTGCTTAGAAAGTTTAACCTCCATTATGTTGTGATCATTGAGAAAATCCTTTTCTTGAGAGCCTCATGAAGGGCATCAGAAAAGAAACTTAACTTCAGGCAAATATATACAGAGAAGGCAACATTGCAAGAATCTTTGGCAGTCTTCCTTACCCTGCTGCCTCCTTTCAGGAAGGGATGGAGTGTTTTCAGATCCTATTTTTTCTCATTCAGCTTTGAAGTCAGGCAACATAGATGGCATAGGTGGCACAACAGATCTAGAATATGTTCAGGGCTTTCTGGTGCATTTTAGATGGTGACATCAGCTTTTTTACTTGCTTGTTTGTTGAACTAGATTTATATGCAATTATATGACTCTCATATTGTATCATTTAAGAACTAGAAACACCAACAATTTCAAATATTTTGGCCAGTGTTTCTCAGCCTTAGCAACATGAAGATATGTGGGCTTGCTAAATTTCTGAGGTTGAGAAACACTGATTTAGACAAATCGATCTAAACATTCACCTTCCAGAAAGGAAACAAATACATCCTTGTTCAAAGGCCCATTGAACAAAAAGGTCTTAAATGCTTTCTGAAAGGCTAACCAAGTTAGATCTTGTCTGATATCAGGAGAATAATGTTCCAGAAAAGGAGGTAATGACGGGGAAAAAACCTTCTGTGGGGTGCTTGTACATGACATTCCCTGAGGGTCAGGAAAGAACGGGCCCACTCTTAGAGATCGTAACTGATGGGCAGGGATCTCTAGGAGAAGGTGGTCCCATGGATGCCGAAGTCCTGAAATGAAGGGCTTTAAAAGTACCAACAGCCCTTTGATTTGAACCAGGCAACAAACTGGCAACTAGTGCAGTTCTCAGTCAGAACAGAGGTTCACAGGGCCAAATCAAATGATGGACATAATTGCATGAACTACTACATTCTGGATTACCTAAGTAGTCCCATGAAGTGCAAGCTGTAATAATTCAGTAACCAATGCCAACCCAGGAAAAGCCCATAAATGGCACAAAGTCCCTCTTTGCTGAGGCTGTCATCTGCTCCTCAAGCAAGAGCTGTGAAGCCAGGAGTACCCCCAAATTACAAACTAACTCTGCTTGGGGAATCCCATCCAGAGCCAAAGACTGAATATTGTAATAGCCATTCTCACACAACATTCTACTATTCTTTTAAATTGGCTTTGAAATTCATGGATTATATTTCAAGTTTGTAGCTTGTTTTTATTTAATTTTATTTCTTTTTGAAACTATAAGTCACCATAATTGCAACATTTTTCTTAATTACAGAGAAATTGGGCACACTGTCACTGCTAATCCATACGGGGTAAATAAATTAAGCAGAATCAAATTAACATGTTTACTTTGAAATCCATATAAAAGAAATAACTTTATCAAGCCAAATCTAAGAACTCTTTATTAGAAAAGGAAACTGGTAGATTAAAAGGCTGGCATAGAAACATGTCAGCCCTAGTTTAGTTTTTAATGGACTATGAGAGATCTATCCAGACTTGCATTTCTCGAAGATAAAGAAATTGTGTTAAATTGCAACAAGTGCTATTTTCAAAACTTTCTGGTGGGTCCTGCATCTGGGTGGATGGGATGAACAAATATAGGCAGGAGTCTCCTTAACTTTTTCGGTGTCCATAAGTGTTGAAAGGCAGGTGGGTAGAGACTGCAGCATCTGAATCTAGGGCTCTGTTCTGGGCCCAGTACTCTTCAACATCTTCATCAATGATTTGAATGAGGGGATAGATGGGGAAATCATCAAATTTGCAGATGACACCAAGCTGGCAGGAATAGCCAACATTCCAGAAGAGAGGCTTAGGATACAGGAGGATCTGGACAGACGTGAACACTGGGTGCTATCTAACAAAATGAAATTCAATGGTGAAAAAAGTAAGGTTCTACATTTAGGCAAGAAAAACCAAATGCACAGGTATAGTATAGGGGGTACCTTACTCAATACTAGTAACTGTGAGAGGGACCTCAGAGTCCTAGTGGACAATCACTTAAATATGAGCCAGCAATGTGCTGCAGCTGCCAAAAAGGCCAACACAGTGCTGGGCTGCATTAACAGAGGGATAGAATCAAGATCACATGAAGTATTAATACCACTTTACAATGCCTTGGTAAGGCCACACTGCATTCAGTTTTGGTCACCACGATGTAAAAAAAGTGTTGAGACTCTAGAAAGAGTACAGAGAAGAGCAACAAAGATGATTAGGGGACTGGAAGCTAAAGCATATAAGGAAAGGCTGCTGGAATTGGGTGTGTCTAGTTTAATGAAGAGAAGGACGAGGGGGGACATGATAGCAGTATTCCAATATCTCAGGGGCTGCCACAAAGAAGAGGGAGCCAAGCTATTTTCCAAAGCGCCTGAAGGCAGGACAAGAATCAACGGATGGAAACTAATCAAGGAGAGAAGCAACCTAGAACTAAGGAGAAACTTCCTGACAGTGAGAACAATTAACCAGTGGAACAACCTGCCTCCAGAAGCGGTGAATGCTCCAACACTGGAAGTTTTAAAAAAGAGACTGGACAGCCATTTGTCTGAAATGGAATAGGGTTTCCTGCCTGAGCAGGGGTTTGGACTAGATGACCTCCAAGATCCTTTCCAACTTGATGATGATGATGATGATGATGATTATAAATATAGGAACTAGTGGCTATGCATGTAAATGGCTGACATGGAAGGGGGGTGGGTCAGGCCTGGGTGAGGATGCTTCAGAGCCAGGAAGAGGGGATGGTGCCAAGCTCACCACTTCGGGAAGCCATTGATAAAAATAGTATGCTTGCATGGCTGCTGCCATCTATACTTATATAGGTCGGTTTTCACAAAAATTAAACTGATACCACAAATTTTGGGATACCCTGTTTTATGGGATTTCATAGCAAATACTTTTTGGAATTATAATTCACTTTTCCTCCTTATTGAAATACCCTAAAAGATAGAAAGTAGAAGAGATATCAGCTAGGCAGCCTAGAAATTAACAAAGCTAGATATAAGCTAACATGTACTATATAAAATTCATTATTAATATCAAAATGGGCTGTTTTAGCTAGTGCTGTTATGGCATATATTCTCTGAGAATGTTTCCTGCAAACTATATACTTGCTTAGTCAAAATGCCTCAGGGTTCTTCACTAGAACCGTCACCTTCGTTAGTAAAAATATTCTGTTTACAATATCTTCTTTTTTAGCCTCAAGTTATAGGCAAGGATAGAGATGAATTCAAAAGTGTGTTCCAAAAGCTTTCTAGGGAGGTAAGAGACAAAGATATAAATATATATTAAGATTAGATAAATAGTATATTTTTGAACTTTGAATTAATAGATCTTTATCACTAATTCATATAAATCAGTTTTTATATTGGTATCATAAAATCATCCTTCATTTGCTTTACTTAATAGAGTGACAAAGTGCTTTGGATATGAAAGCAAAAGTAACTTTGGGGGGATTCATGTAGCAACTCTCTGACACTTCTTAAAGCAACTGTATACTTTTCTGGATGCCCATCGCGGTTACAGAACAATCCAGGGACAATGTGTGTCCAAGGAGATGCAGGCAACCTCTGCACACCTTCACATCCAAAGGGTTATGTGGCCATAAGATTTATTTATTGAATGATAAGACTTATCAACTGCCTCACTCCTAGAAAATCTAAATACCATGCAACACAAATAATCACAATAAAATACAAAAGAAACCACAAAACAGTGTCCATTAATGATGCAATTCCTATTTCAGCTCCTCATCTCCAAAGGCTATTCTTTCCTTGGGGCCATTTTTTCTTTGGAGGAAAAGTTGTTCCAAACAATCACTGAGAATGGCCCCCTCTTGTCAGTACCCTGCTGTTTGGAAGAGAGTGTTAGCAGGCCTCCTCTATTAATCTGATTTGGTGGTCAGAATTTATTTGGGGGAATAAGACAGCCACTGAGCATTGATAGCATTGACAACCAGCAGCCTGAACTGCACTTGGAAATAAATGACAGCTAATACACTTTCTATGTGGATACTACCCCAGAGCACTATAACTTCAAGTCTCTAATCTCATTAGTACAGCGGCCAATTGCCCTCAGCATTGCCCCTTTTAGTCATCCACTAGGGCAGCAGCCCCCAACTTTTTGGGCATCAGGGACCAGTTTGTGGAGAAAGGTTTTTCTGTGGACCGGAGGGGGTGTGGATTTGTATGCTGCCTGCATCCCATGGATGGGGGCTTGTTTGTGCAGACTGGTTGCTGGCATATCTCAGACTAGTGCCAGTCCACAGACTGGGGGTTGGGGACCCCATACTAGGGTCTTCCCCACATTTATTCATCTAGTGGTAGTCCTTTATCAACCAGCCTGAACAGAATTCTGCCAAATTGTTACACGACCTATTAGCCTAACTGCTATAATTTTTAGTGAGAGAATTAACTTCAGGGGAAAGCAAATGGACCAGAGAAATTATGGTTAAGGAGGATTGATTAACCTTTTCTCTGATTATGATTTCGTAAATCCAATTTCTTCTGCAAATATTCTTTCTGTCATTAATCAATATTTGCACTGCTTCTGTTTTTCTTTCAAACTTCCAAGTAGGAAAAAAGGTAAGGGTGAGGGAGAAATTTGGAAAAAATATTCTGAAAGATATCACATCTTATTTGGCATATTGATGGATGCATGTATGTTTGCATGCATGTTCTGTGAAACATTATGGAAAGGAAAGAGCTTCGTTTGGGATTCAGTTCAGGAAGCTGCTGGACTGAATCCTGAACGGTATATTTATCTGTTGGACTGGACTGGAAAAAAAAGCCTATTATGATGACTAGTTTTTAATTTACATATTCATTCAGCAAATAGTCTGTGAGTCAGACAAAGCAATGTAGCATTGTAATACCAATCTTCAGTAAGCCAAGGCTGTTAAAGCAGCCTTACCTTGCAAATATTGTATGTATATATACATATCCTTGGCAAATATGAATATAGAGCTGTTCCCATAAGTAACATGAGTGTGACATCTTCATGGCAAAAGGTCTGCATACATTCATCCAATCTACAGAAATAAAGCATCCATTTCCCTGCAGCTAGGATCCGTCAATTAAATGAGCTTCGCACATATATTGGTAGATCCTCCTAGTCAGAAAAGCTGGAGATTTCAGAAACCAAGGCGGTTTCTGAAATCTCCAGCTTTTCTGACTAGGAGGATCTTCCAATATATGTGCGAAGCTCATTTAATTGATGGATCCTAGCTACAAGGAAATGGATTTGGGAGTATTAAATGAAACTTGATTCTGGCTGACTACAGAATCTTCCTGTAGTGCTGTTTCAGATTGAAATTTAGCCAAAGGGAAGGGTTTGATGGCCATAGCTGTGTTGCTTTTTATTGTATCTATATCTCTTTAATCTCTACTTTTCCTCTTTTATGCAGGAGTGTGAATTGACTGCAGATGAACTTCAGACTATCTTGAATAAAGTCATAACAAAAAGTAGGTTGCAACTGATTTTCAGGAAATAGTGCAGAATTTCCAGGAATGTCACAGGATCACTCCCTGATCCCTCAAGCACCCGTTTTGATTTTAAAGACTCTAAAATGACTCTGATCTTTTAAAACATTACATAGTATTTTAAAAGAACCTTCTGAACAGATTATAGTATAACATCCTACTAGTCACTCCAGGCTAATATAAAATTAACTTGTTTCTTGGCTATAGAGTTTCTCTTGTTATATGTAATATTTCTCTTTTATTTGTAAGCCACCCAGAACCAAGAAGGCAGATAGCCTTGACATTGTACATATTAGTCGTCATATAATACAAATTCCCAGTTACTAATTTCCTTCAAAAATAATGCTCCTCAAAACATCTGTTCTTCTAATTCACCTTTCCTGGACTTCTTGGTTTCTGGGATTCCAGTGAGTTATTTCTGAGAGTACTAGGGTAACAGAACTTTTTTCCAGATTCACCACACAGCTTCTGTTTCTCTTTAAAGAACCAAACCACTTTTCTATAATTGTGACAAAAAGCCATATCTCAGCCATTGGGGTGTATATTCCTAATCTGGTCCCTAGTCTGAGCTTGTTTGGCAAAACAGAAAGGTAGCCATTTTACCTGCACACACAAACACACACACACTCACAATCAATCAAGGTAAATTTTTTCTAGGTCACCTTTTCAAATTCCTTTTGTTTTTTGTTAAAGTTACTGAAAATAATGTTAAAAACTTTTTGTAATGAAATCGGAAATTGCTAGGTAACTGTCTTGACACCAGTACTCATGTAATCTTTTTTCTGAAAGGTATTTTTCTTCAAAATGAGCTAATAAAGATAAAGGCTTTTTTGCTTCAACTGGAGAGATTGACATGCCTGAAAATCTTGTGTTACCATGGGATGCAGAAAAATATTTGAATAACACTTTTTGTCTCTTTTATTGTATAGGAACAGACATTAAAAGTGATAGATTCAACATAAACACCTGCAGGGAGATGATCGGTCTCTTAGATGTATCTTTTAAATGTCACCCTTCTCCACTGGATTTCCCTTGTGAACTTTTGCCTAGATATGCCAAGATTTACACATCTCATTTCTGGTGCATTTGTCTTCATTTGCAATTGGCATAAAATGTAGAGTAGAATACTGATTTAAACAGCCTGGTAGAAAGGATAGTACAACTTTACTATCAGCTGCATGATTGTTTTCTTGCTCTGCCTGAATTCTGCAACAATCTCTTGTGCACTAACTTCAGTTACCTGTGTTGTTGTGCATAATCTAAATGTTCATGGCATATATATTCTTTTTTGCGTACTTAATAAAAATATACAGAGAGGTCTGAAAAATCATAAGCAGTTCTAGTGGTTCACTTGTTATTTTGGACATCAGTATAGTAACAGAATGTAACCATATGGAGATTCTTGGTTATCCAGGTCATGGTTATCCCAAAGGTGCTTTTTCAAGGGGCAACTGGACTTTCTTGTTTTCTCTTTGAAAATGTTTTGCTTCTCATCCAAGAAGCTTCTTCAGCTCCGACTGGATGGTGAGGAATGGAAGGATTTCTATTCCTCGCAGACAGCTGGTCATTTGCATTCTTTTAGAGAGTCGTTGAGGCTACTTGGAAGTTTATCTGTGTCCTCAGGTTCACTTGAGTAATTGTAATCATTACTCCTAAACCAGTTTTCCAATCTGATAATTTCCAAATGGATTTGAGCACCTAGAAAGTAGATTTTAACCTTTGTCTTTTACCAAAAGATTTTCAGGAAGTGGTAGGTTCTTACTATCCCCCAAATACAATCCATGTGGTTCTACAACACTATAATCATTTTTCAAACTGAATCCAGCTCTGATCAACCCATTTTTATTTTAAAAGATAGCAATAGGAAATGTGTTGTTTTACCATGTGGTGAAACTACAGATTTATGTGACTGCATGAACTATGCATTTTTATCGGGATTAGAATTTCTTGCTTAAGAAAGAATGTAAAAAAACATTAAGAGAAATGTGTTTGAAATTTTGAAATAGTACCCTGGGATTTATAGAATTCAAGATCCTTTGGATGAAGATTCAGAAATATCTGGTGAAAAGCAAATTAATCCTTCCTAAATATGATGTTATCTTTGATAATTATTTAAACTGAAAAAAAAACCTGAGCAGTAAAGTAGTAATGTGAGATAAGCATGTAGTTCTGAGATATGCATTTTATTCACACTATGAATAAAATCTTATTAGTTTTGTTTCCAAATCCAGTAGAGTTGTCTTGCATCTGACACTCAATTCAGCACGAGAGGGTAGGAAATTATCTATGTTGCTAATTTTTGCAGATCAGCTGACAACTTGGTTAAATCCTATGAAACTTTGGCAGGACAACTAATGAAACATCATAAGTAATTTAGTGATTTAGTATACCAATGCAAAATATCCTATTAAGTTAAAAGGTCAGAATAGTTTTTAAATATCTATTTGGAGAAGAAATCTGGGGAAACAAGAGTTGTCTATTGTTCCTCAGTTCCACATCACAATCTTTGGCAGAAAAAGGGGTTATTTCTCAAAGGCTTATTTCTTACAAGTCATCATCTGACTTGTAAGCAACTTGAGTTATGGGAATCACTTCCCAGGACAAACAGCTTGTCATGAGGTAATTGAATCCTCTTTCCACCATTCAGTCTTAATGGAAACAACTATCTTTCCTGCCTTTTTGGACCAGTCATTAATATTTTAGTTGACCTGAGATATCTACAATTAGACTGAAAGAACTAACAGTAGATTCTCTCCCTCTCTCTCTCTTTTGGTCTAGGAAATCTATAAAAAAGTAGCTACAAATTATACTGGAACCATAGATGCACATGAAATGAGAAATGCTCTCAAGGAAGCAAGTCAGTTCCCCCCCCCTCACTTTTCTCTCCAGGAAATATTTTCTCATTGATTCATCTAGAAAAGATGGCTGTGGATCTGCAGCAGAATGCAATTGATTTGGAAATAATTCTGGGATGTATATTTATTGTAATGACTTTAGATCATAATAACCTAGTACATCTTCATCATTATCTCCGTATCCTATGATTTGACTGATAGATAAAAATGCCAGATCCAGTCTAGATATCTGGCTGACTATGCAACCAACCATAGTAATACTAAAAAGAAATGCACCATATAAAGAAGCTAAGCTAAATTAAAACCAATACTACAATTTAGAACATACACATTTTGAGGTTAAAAAAGGGCAAATTGACTGCTAATAAATGGCATCATGTCCATGAAAAAGTAATTCATTCATTCTGTATATGATCCTTTAAATTTGCCTATCATCAGTGTTTTTTCCTAATGTAATCATAGATAGGACAGCAGAGGTTCATACTTACTTGCACCAAGAATATTTTCCCTAGAGTTTCCTATAAAGCTGACCTTTTTCTACTGTTCTCCAACTGCTCTCCTCTTTGGCAGATGTGCTGTTTTGTTATTTAAGCAGCTTGGAAGATACAACCCACACTTACACAGAACTATATATATGGATCTCTGGATCAGGCCTTTCATATACAAAGGAATTCCGTGTAGTTATCAAAATGTACGGCCAGTCATTTCCCACATGCATTTTATTGCTTGCCTCCCTCTGCAGAAGCCCATGTGTCTCCTTATGAATTCAGAACATGCCATTGTCATCCATCAGTCTCATTCTGAAGCTCATCATAAGATAATTTAATAATTAGGAGCTTTTTAAAGAGATATGATACTTTATTAAACTTTTTATTGCACTTGGTTTTCATATGTACCATTATATCATGATTGAAAACAACTACCTTGGTTTCAGTGAAATAAACTTCTAGTATGATATGCAACAAATGCTGAAAGCAATAACCATGCATTGGTTCTGCTTACTTTTCTTGTGCACTTTCTTCTGTATAGTGGCAATAAACCTCCACCTCATATTTAAATTCAGCTCAGCAAATCAGTGCATATTGGGATGCAGGGCCAGCCTGAGTGGCCCTGTTCCACTTATCCTTGAATTAATGCCTGGAACAGAATGACAGAATGGAAATATATTTTAACTTTATATATCATAACCATTGGATCAATTAGAAGTATATATTTCTGCCAACTAAGAAGAATAATTCATGCATTGGATTCCAGCTAGGCCCTAACAGCTAATGGTATTTTATCTTCAAAGTGCCTCAGAACTCTTTGTATAGGGGAAAAAGTATCCATTCAGGGTTAAAAAAAAAATACTCCAGAGGGAAAACGCTAATTTTCAGTATGTACATATACCCATCTAGACCAACAAATGATAGCTGCAACTGGCACTTAAATTAAGCTTCAAATGCTGGAAAAAGTATGTTTTGTATGAAACTTACTCCCTGCAACCAAAGGTCTCATTTCACTGGACTGAATATATCAAAGCTACTCTAATTACAGTAGGTACTTATCCTTCATAGAGAAGAAGAGGGAAAATCCTTCATACAGAAGAACAGGGTAGATCCTGTGAAGTAGCTTATGATGCATTCCTCTTCGAGACTTGATGAGGGAGTACAAGGTCCATGACTGGTTCAGAACTAAAGATGTGAGATAAAATTTATATTATAGAGCAATCTTCCTGAACCTTCCTCAATTATTCAGATGGGTTGGGATTAGAATTCCTAAAATGCTCAGCTTTATATAGGAAGTGCACTGGAAGCTAGAGGTATTGAGGCATAACAGCTGATTAATACTCTGAAAATCTTCACTAGCATTGTTTTTCTCGGACTCTGAATCCCCAAATTTGTGGAAATGGCATGGACTGGATTCAAGAAACTGGGCAATTGCACCAGGGATTAAACATCATCTATTCAAAGTTTGTTTCAATATTTGAAATAAATTAATTGAGTGATATTTGTCAATCAAGAAAATCAAATAATAAATTAAGAATGAGCATCCTAAGAATACTGAAAGTTGAGTCATGGCAACTGGGCTTATTTTCTTGTTGGTTTGAGATGTTTCATTCTCAACTAAGAAGCTTCATCAGCCAGAGCAAGTCTGCCATGCACTTTGGGGAAGACCCCTAAGGTTGGTGTGGGAGGAGTTGGTACATTACAATGATTCTCTGCCTAACTGACTTGCTCTAACTGATGAAGCTGCTTGGATGAGCAGAAAAATGTCTCAAACCAACAAGAAAACAAGTCCAGTTGCCATGACTCAACATTCAGACAATTTTATCTGGATGACTGAGAATCTTCATCAGTATATCTATCCCAAGAATATTTTCATTCTCTTAGGCATTGTATAAGAATGCTATTAGTTTATGCTAATCAAAAATCAGAGGAGTCTGACACCACCCCATGCATTTAATGAAGTGACCTGCAGCTGATGAAAATACATTTAATAAAATATATTTGTTCTTTTAGGTTTTCCTATTCATGCCTCTTTCCTGGTGCATTTAGTGAACAAAAATCAATGGAAGAAAAAAAACCTGGGGATAAAAATAAAACTTAAGTAAACATTCTGTTCACAAGCCTCCAAATCTTACCAAATCCCAGTAAGCAACTGATCTATTTTTAAAATCAACATATTTTCCTCAACTTGGTATCCTCTAGAGTCTAGATCAGGGGTGTTAAACTGCCGGCCCGCGGGCCGGTTTCATCATACCGAAGCCACACCCACCCCATTGCCAGCAATGCAAAAAGAGTTGTGATGCGTCGTGACATGTCACGTGACGTGGCGAGTTTGACACATGTGCTCTAGATGGATTATACCTCAGTACTTGTAAAAATCAATCAACATAGTCAGTGGCTGGCTGGCTGAAAGTCCTAATAATTGCAGTCCCAAATTACCAGAACAGCTTCCTATTGGGGATAATTTTGCCGAGAATATACATACCTATCAGGAGGAATAACCAATAATCCAATAATGCCTGTTTAAATTCTGGCTGCAGAATTATGGGAGTTGAGGTTCACACATCTTAAAGTAGTTGACTTTGAAAAACATTGTTCTAAACTATACTGAACTGACCGAATTAAATTATGGAGGATCAGCACAATCACATGCTCATGTTTTAATTATGGGCTTTCCTTCTCCACAGGTTTCACTCTCAGCAACAAAATCCAGCAAAGTATAATTATTCGTTATGCCTGCAGCAAGCTGGCCATTGACTTTGATGGCTTTGTGGCCTGTATGATTCGTCTAGAATGCTTGTTCAGTAAGTATTCTTAAAAGAAGAAAGAAAAAAACGGCTACTGTTTTACATCTCCCAGCAAGAATTTTTACCAAAAGGTGAAAGATTTTTCACCTGAGTACAAAAATACCTGTCCATGATTAAAAACTATTGTAAAATGTCTTTATCTGAAATATTAGATAAACAGGACAAGACTCCAAATACTATATATTCTATCTGGCAAAGTAGATACAGACACACATTGAAAACACATTATTTTTTTTACAAAGTTGAAATCAAACTAATAGCATTTGCCTAAGATACTGATTGCAATATTTTATTCCAAGGTCACTGTTATTTTTTAAAAGTTCGAAGGTCCAACAGATTTGCAATTGAAGAGCAATTTGTTATAATATATGGAAAAGCTTTTGGATATTTAGAAAGGGGAAATCATGACAGAGAATTTATATAACACATGCACAGAATGTCATGTATACACTATGGCGTCCAAGTTAAAAGTTTTCCACTTGAACAAATCAGTGAGTCAATTCGATGAAAGCCCAAGGCCTGCCTGATCTCCACATTTGAAATTAGGAGCAATGTCTTCCTCAGGGTCTTTTAGTTTTGGTTATTGGATAAAATCACATTTTGTTCTCTTGATTAGTCTGCCTGACCCAATTTACTTTAGAATAGAATAGAATAGAATAGAATAGAATAGAATAGAATAGAATAGAGTAGAGTAGAGTAGAGTAGAGTAGAGTAGAGTAGAGTAGAGTAGAGTAGAGTAGAGTAGAGTAGAATAGAATAGAATAGAATAGAATAGAATAGAATAGAATAGAATAGAATAGAATAGAGTTGGAAGGGAGCTTGGAGGTCTTCTAGTACAGCCCCCTGCTCAGGCAGGAGAACCTATACCATCTCAGACAAGTGACTGTTTAACCTCTTTTTAAAAATACCCAGCGATGGAGCACCCACGATTTCTGAGGGCAAGCTATTCCACTGGTTAATTGTCCTCACCGTCAGGAAGTTTCTCCTCAATTTCAGGTTGCTTCTTTCTTTGATCAGTTTCCAACCATTGTTTCTTGTCCTGCCCTCTGGTGCTTTGGTGAATAATGTGACCCCTCTCTTCTTTGTGGCAGCCCCTCAAATACTGGAATACTGCTATCATGTCTCCCCCATTTCTTCTTTTCTTTAGACTAGCCAAACCCAAGTCCTGCAGCCGTTCTTCGTACATTTTAGTCTCCAGGCCTTTGAACATCTTAGTTGCTCTTCTCTGAATTTTTTCCCAAATTCTCAACATCTTTTTTGTGATATGGTGACCAAAATTGGCTGCAGTATTCCAGATGTGGTCTTACTAGGGTTTTTTAAAGCAGTACTAATACATTGTATGATCTTGATTCTATGCTTCTGTTTATACAACCCAGGACTGTATTAGCTTTTTTTGGCTGCTGCTGCACACAACTGCAAGGTCCCTCTCACAGTTACTGTTTTTAAGCCAGGGCTTGCCCAATCTGTACTTGTACCTTTGATTTTTCCTACCTAAATGTAAAACTTTGCTTTTCTCCACACTGAAACTCATTTTGTTAGATAGGGCCCATTGTTCTAGTTTGTCAAGATCTTTTTGGGTCCTGAGTTTATCTTCTGGGGTGTTGGCTACTCCTGCCAGTTTGGTGTCATCTGCAAATTTGATGAGTTCCCCTTAAATTCTCTCATCTAAGTCATTGATGAAGATATTGAAGAGTACTGGGCCTAAGATGGAACCTTGTGGTACTCCACTGCTTACTTCTTTCCATGTGGATGTAGTGCCGTGGAGGACTACTCGATGAGTACAGTTTGCCAGCCAGCTACAGATCCATTTGGTGGTGATGTTGTCTATTCCACCTTTTTCTAGCTTACCAAGGAGTATTTTATCAAATGCCTTTAATGGTACAACTTCTTAGTTAACCCTGAACTGAAAGGAAGATCTTTAGAGGTTTTAGGTAATACTGGTCTTTGACAAAAAAAAAAGTTAAATGAAGTTCACATTGCCTTCTAAAACTTACATAAGAAGAAAAGAGTTTCGTGCACATTGTAGAGTAAACCTTCCAGCTTGTTCTTCCCCATCCAAACATCTGTGACTATCGTATAAAATGTTATCTATTCTAGAAATAATTGAACCTCAGATTCTGAGGTTTTTAATTTTTGGTTTATCATGCATTTTACTTATCGTGCATTAAATCTAACATCTGCTATTGTTTCAGATACTAGATAAGGATAAGGATGGAAGAATTCAGCTTTCTTTGACAGAGGTAAGTTTGCTTTAGTAAACTGTTTGTACTGTATGGCTAAAACATTACAGAGTGATAATAACATATTACTATCAAATCACTATAACTGCTAAGTTATTCCAATTATGCTTACCAGAAATATGGGAAAACTGCTAAAACAATTCAGAATATAGAAAACTCTTCTATCGGCTGATTATAACTCACATGTTATAATCAGCTGATAGATATACACTTATGTATTTTGGGGGCAGCACCAAAAATTAAACCTAATTTTTAGAGGGTGTGTTTCTTCCTTTATAGTCAATTCTGGCTCAAGTATTCCATCCAAGGAAACCAAAGACATCAAATTTGAAATTTTGACCACTATTTCTCTCTCGCATACCCATATCTGAAACCTTTATTTAAATTAATAGTCAGCAGTAAGAACAAGAAAAATTAACAGCTGACACAAAATTACATTAATCTCCCCCAAATTAAAAAACCTTCACATGTATCTAGATATCCTAATGAAAGTCAATATTCTTTTACTTTATGTACATCTAAATGAAAGTATTAATTGGCTATTTCTACTTGCTCTACTCATATTAAAAAAGTTTAGCAAAGAAGATCAACAATGTATTATACCCTTCATAAATCTATTAGAGTATCTTTTTCTTCAAATAAGGTTAACAGAAACACAATTCCAAATGACAAGCTCCTATGAGTAAAGTCAGAGAAATGATCTGAAAGCAACTGGGTTAAATTAGGTGTGTTTATCAGAGTTTCAAACCAGTAGAAGGCAATCATCTAACACAATAGAAACCAATAGTAAAGCAAGGGTCATATGTGATGTAGTAACTTTATGACAAAAATACCAATTAAGTTAGATCAGTTGACCAGTCTGAAAATAAAATTAAAATAGTTAAATATATTGGATTTAATCCAAAGAGTTTCCCCCCTAGCAGATATAAGAAAGACACTGTATAGACACTAATGTTAGTAAACTCAAGATGTTGCATCTGTGCATCAGCCCTCTATGGATTTGGATGCCAGAGTTTGTTTATCATTTTTGTATAGCTGCCCATTTTACATGAAAGTGAGTCTGGGTGGCATACAGCACTTAATAAATACATAAAAGCAATCCCAATTAAAAAAACTATCAAAATGCACACAAAATAAGAGAGGGTGATATTTACCACAACACAGAGGCCATCAAAAGATCTCTCTGGTCCATATGATAACATAGCCAAGTCTCGAGCAGCTTGCAAATGTTGAGAGGGATGGAGCTAATCTCATGTAAGGCAGGGGAAGAAGATTCTACAAGTCAGGAAACACAGCAAAAAAGGCCTGCTTCCTGGGACCTAATCTAATTCCCTAGCACAGAGTTCCCCAACCTTTCCAGCTTTGTGGACCCCAACCTTTCCAGCTGGGAACGGGGGGGCAGGAGGGAGAAGAGATGGTTCTGTACGAGCAGATGGCATGTGCTGCGGATGCAAATGGAGCGTGCGTGCATGTGTTCTCCTGCTACTCATGCATGGGGATGTGCATGTGCACCCACACACTCACCTGCCATTTCTGGGGCTCAGTTGCAAACACCTCACAGCCCATTGGTGAGCTACTGCCCAGAGGTTGGGGACCCCTGCCCTAGCAGACTGATCTAATTCCCTAACAAGCAGAATCCACAGTATGCCTCCTTTGCCAGACCTGATAGAGTGGACAGATGTAATTGGGGAGAGTTTAGTGCAAATAGCACTGGGAAGGGCAGGACTCAGACAGAATTAAGAAAATAATAATGAAAAATACAAAAAGAGCTGCCTTCACCAAAGAGGTATTACAGCAGCTGATGACCAGAAGAAAAAAGACTGCACAATTCATAAAAAAGACCTCATATGCTGGCGCTGCAATCAAAAGGAGACCTGGAGACTATAAAAGGACTATGAGTTGCTGAACACCTATTAAATGATTATAAATTTGGTTGGATGTTCAAAAAGGTCTTTACCAGCAAGTGGGGAAATATTGCAATAGTAAATTCTGTGAAACTTTAAGTAAGTAACTGTGTATTATCCTAATCCTTATTTTCTCTCTCTCTTCCTTAGTGGCTGTGTTGTGCATTGATGTAAAGCATTATTTTTGGCAATCATTTGGAAACGGGACAAACTTATGATTCCACCAAGAAGTTTCTGGGAAAAAGCTGATGACCTTTTAAAAACATGAGGAATATAAATAATTTCTATGCCACACTCTAGTATATAGTTTAAAGTGATTATAAAATAAGTTATGCATAGAAACAAATATTATATAGCAAGCATAGCCACATTAGCAGCTTTGATTTAATGAATAATATGTGTCATGAAATCTAAGTTTCAAAAATGTGATTAAAATTCATCTCTAATTTTATTTCTATATAAAAATAATTTATCTGCCTTCATTTTGTACCTTGTTGTTAGTTGCGAAGTCATGTCCGACCCATCGCAACCCCATGAACAATGTTCCTCCAGGCCTTCCTATCCTCTACCATCTTCTGGAGTCCATTTAAGCTCATGCCTACTGCTTCAGTGACTCCATTCAGCCACCTCATTCTCTGTCGTCCCATTCTTCTATTGCCCTCAATCTTTTCCAGCATTAGGCTCTTCTCCAGTGAGTCCTTCCTTCTCATTAGGTGGCCAAAGTACTTGAGTTTCAACTTCAGGATCTGGCCTTCTAAAGAGCAGTCAGGGTTGATCTCCTCTAGGACTGACCGGTTTGATCACCTTGCAGTCCATGGGACTGCAGGAATCTTCTCCAGCACCATAGTTCAAAGGCCTAAATTCTTTGGCACTCAGCCTTTCTTATGGTCCAACGTTCTGCCTAAGAATAGAAACTGATTTATAAAATATCTAATATTTCTATTTTCCAAAATGGGAGATCATCCATCCTGGAGGAGAAGGAAGATGGAAATTAAATGAGCTGAAGAATATAATGGGCTTAGGGCCAGATAGACTTACACCAAAGCATAAATAATTGGCAAAAATCTAATGTGAAGTTTAATTAAAAATATTAAAATGTATGAAACAAAATGGAGAGACTTGAATAGAGTCAGGAGATAAGAATAACCCCCAAACTGTGACTGACCTTCTTAACATCAAGAACAACAATAATATAGCATAATGGTGTTAGAAATGAAAGAAAGGATAATGAGAATTAAGAGAGATTGTTAAAAAAAAAAATCTACTACAGCTACTACTTTTTGGCTAATCAAAAATCAAAATAATCCCAATAAGTTGTTGAAGGGAAGCAAATTTAATTATCCCATTAGGTCTCCTCACAGGAAAAAAACCAAGAGATTGTGCAAAGGAAAGCATAATTTAAAAACCTGATTAAGGTCACAGGTTAAGACAGCTACCAGTAAATTACAGATACAAATAACTCTTTTTAGAAGAATCTGCTGAAACTGAACAAAGCCACATAGAACAAATCAAATATTTATTATGATCAAAGAGCAGCATGAGGAGAGTGGGGCATCATAAATTAAAAAGCATATAAAATAAAATACATCAGATCAGAATAACGTTAATTATACATAAAGCAAAATCACAATAAAAAAGTCATTCAGAAATTATTTATGATGTTGGAAATGATTCATCTCAGCTTATCTTATTATTGGGGCATTTTGATTTGAATGAATGTTTACAATCACCATATGAAATAAAATATAATATCTTTCTCATTGTTCCCATCTTCATTGTACTCCATCAGCATTTGAGAAAGCACTTTAAAAAGTCTATGGTCCCAAAGGCTTGGAAATCCAGAATGGAATTCAGCAGAAATCTAGACATGGACTGGGCTTTAGAGCTGGGTTGTGCCATTTTGCTTTAGGCTGTTGAAAGATCCATCTTAAGCATTCCTTCATTCATTATAATGGGAGAAAGAAAATGAAATTTGCATCTTGTAGAGCTGTTGATTCCTTCTGTACAATGTTGTTGGTTCTGATACTTTTAAACATGTCTCTCATTGTGTCGTCAATAGAGAAGGGAGAAGCAATTTCTCATGCAGTAGCTCTGCAACAAAGAGACAAAATGAAGATAGAAATATGAGTGGCAGAAGAGATTTACAGATTACTTTTTTTTGAGAAAGCTCAGAAATGGGTTTGAAGAAAATAGTTTTACAGAGAGATGTGAAGGGAGTGGCCAAAATTAGATGGTCTCAGGAATAACTCCAGCACGGCTTTGAATAGTTAACACACAAATAGAACTCACACAGCATCTAGGAAAAGCAGTTTTGTTCTTTTCAGAATGCTATATTCTAGAATAATCTATAGATTATTTTATTACAGAAGTAAAAAAATTGGAATGGTTTAATATAATGGTGCCTAATGCTACTTCCATCCCCAAATGGCCAACAATTTACTAAAAGTTGTACAATGCTAAAGTTCTTACCTGAAAGTTTATGCAATTTCAAGCAACAATAATCTTAAAAGATCTGATGATGCCCCTATCAGTTTTCTAACCCTTTATTATTTAAAATGCCATGGACCTCATCTCCCTGGTTTTCATGAAAGCAAAAGGGAAGTTTGCATTCAGATTTTCAAGATTCTATTACTATAACTGTTAAGTCCTCGAGTTAATGGCGAAAGAAGAGCACACATTCTGTAGCCAACAACTGTTTATTCTTCTTCTGCTCACTCCAACACAACTCAGAGGCTCGCAGGCCTCTCTCACATTAAATAGAATTCCCGGGCAAAAAGGTTACAATACAAAATGGTGCGCTTTCGCGCCTTGCACATGCACACAGGCTGGCGCTGCTTAGTCTGGTCCCGGGCAGCTTGCAATAGCCTGGGACCATAGCAATGCCCCGAGCCTGCTTTTGCAGGCTCAGGACACAACAATAACCTTATACTAAAAGTAGTATTCTGGTTTTCTTTTATGGTATACCTTGAAGGGCTGAAAATAATATGCAGCTATCATCAACAAATGGATTCCTTCTTTCATATGCATCTAAATGATACCAGTTCATACTTTGTCGTACATTTTAGCTTTTTTATTCATAAGTAAACTTAGTCCTTCACTTCCCTGCATTTATTCATGAACTTCATTGCACAAAATCAGATCACCTTCAGATCCTTCTGCTTTCTCTAAGTTTCACAGACACTATTTGCCACTCTTTTGTCACTTACTCTTCTTACATTCCATGTCACAATCTTCCATATGACATTGTCATCATCAAATGGACTCACAA